TTACTAAGAACGGACTAAAAAAATCGCCAGAAAAAGTTAAGGCAATCATAGAGGCACCCGTGCCTACGAACGTTTCACAGCTGCAATCCTTCTTAGGATTAGTAAACTACTACAGAAGTTTCGTCCCGGGCGCCTCAACAATTTTATCTCCTTTGTACGATTTACTAAAAAAAGGGCACAAAATAGAATTGGAGTAAATTACATGAGAAAACTTTCAATAAGATTAAAAAAATATTGATTTCAGAACGGACATTAGCTCATTTTAATCAAATTGCAAAACTCTATTTAACTGTCGACGCGTCACCAAATGGCTTAGGCGCGATATTATCGCAAATCGACGATGACGGATTAGAAAGGCCGCTATCTGCATCTCGTACCTTAAATAGCGCCGAGAAAAGATATTCTCAGATACAAAAGGAGGCAACTGCGATAATATTCGGCGTGCGTCGGTATCATCAATACCTATACGGCCGGTCGACTCTAATCACATTACGTACAGACCACAGTCCGTTATTGTCAATTTTTGGTTCACATAAAGGCATCCCGGGGGTATACGCAAACAGATTGCAAAGTTACGCATTTTTCGTAAGTGCTAATTAATAAAGTGTAATTATGTAATAGAATATGTGCGTAGTCGTAATAATAGCGCGAACTTCCTTTTGCGAGCAAGTGTTGAGGGCTGGGCTGAGGAGTCGGGGCACAAGGAAGAGCTGGATAGGGCAGCCTATGTGTGTTTTGTGACGCAAGATATTTTTCCCGTGACAGCAGACCACCTTCGGCAGGCTACGGCTAATGACGCGACTCTGAATAAGATTATTCATTATGTGACGGCCCAATATTATTATTAATAATTAAATTCAATATAAAGGGTCATCAAAAATAGTCGATAGGGATCATGTGGGTGTGTTGTGAGTGGGCGCCATCCGTATGATAGTTGCATTGATTCTTACTGCTACTTGCGGTATTGCGTCTTGTGGTGGATCTGCGGGTGTGCTGCGCCTGATTCGACGCACTCTTGTGGTTCTGGTTGATGGAGGTATACGGGTGGTGATTTTTAGGCTGGAATGTATGCGGGACTTTGGGATGGTGTAAGCCCGACGGTAGTCGTATTGATGTTTGTTGCGTTCTGCAGCATTGCGTCTCTGCGATGGTTGTTTGGTGGGACGCTATTCTCAATGGCGCTCTCTGCGTCTTGGTTTGACTCACACCTAAGTAGCTTTGCCCAAGTCGGGTCCCTTCATTACGGTGCTGCAGACTGTCTGCCCTCCATGATGTTTTATATAACAACATAATAATATATCTCTGTAACTTTCCCACCTTTGAATGATTGAAGGCAAATTGTTGGTGGGTGAGACAAACATGATCTAAAATACATTTACTCAACGTCAGTGACACAAACCCTTTCTGTGGCTTTTGATGGCGAATTATTACTCTTATTTTATAACTGCCTTTTGGCTATATCTGCCGTTGTATTGGTTGGTGGAGCATATGTGTCGACCTCATGCGGGTGGTAGCTGGCGGGAGGATCTGAGGAGACTCTCAAGGCTGCGGCCGAAAGCCGCACAACGTGGGACCCCATTCGGCTGCGGCTAGTAGCCGTGCTGATCATGCAATTGGTGGTCATGCAAATGCCATCCACTTACATCAAGTCTGCAGGAGCGGCGGTCTGGCAGGTGGTGGCGCTCACGGAGGGTTTACGGCCAGTGTGCCTATTTGCCTAAACCGTGTGACGTACATTCACTGTGGCTGGATTCGTTCGTATTCTGTATGGCGTTTACACGCATTGACATACGCGACTGCGGTCGATGTTTGTGCTTACGCACTAACAAGGGGCCAAGCCTCTTTTACTGGTTCGCCAGTTATTTTGCTGTGGACTACGGTCCAGTTCCCGAATTAGCGTTCCCTTCGGGGGGGAGTGCATCAAAATGGTTGGCGCTCACCGCGCACGGCGTGTGTGGAGCCGTGTGCCTCCCCTACATTTTTTTTAAATAAATGTAGGAGAGCGAAGCCCTTGTATTGGGTATTTTGTATAAATATATTGTGAGCCTTTTCCAAGCGGGAAGGGATAATTAATAAATAAATTAATAATGCAAACCTGATACAAGTGGAATAGGGACGTTTTATGTTCTTAACCTTTCTCGAGCCCTGTCTTCGTGAACGGGATTCACTTAGCTTATAAGGCACTACCAACAGCTTTCAATTGCTTTAGTGAATATTCATTCTTCCAAAAGACACCTAAAAGAACTAAGTTACTAAACAAACACAACGTAAATAAGGGTCCTAACTAAGACGATCACGCCAAAATATTACAAACGGCCTATTAATAAACCTTTAGAAAGATCATTTAGAAAGATCAAAACATATCTTATTTATCTTGGTCACAAATATATAATTTTTAATATAAAGAGGAATATAATATATTTACTATTTTATATATTTATTTTATATAGAGGGGGGAGCGTTACAATTACATACAAAAGGGTTGGCCAAAGCGGGTTAAATATAAAGAAATTAATCCGTATTATCAATGTAGGTTACAACTATCGTACGAAAACGGGTGTGTACTTCGAGGCCATCCCCTTTTCCTTGAGGCAACGTGTTTTATCGGAATTGCACAATTCTCATCTCGGTATTGTAAAAACCAAAGCTGAGGCTCGATCACGGTTTTGGTTTCCGGGGATTGATGACGAGCTGGAAAAGATGATTGAGGCCTGCGAAGTTTGTTTACAGTTGCGAGCATCACCGCCGCGGGTACCTATGTCACCGTGGCAGTTACCTCTCCGACTATTCTACAGGATACAACTGGATCTGCTGGATCCGATAAATGGCCGTATGTATATGGTCATAGTCGATGCCTACTCGAAATGGGTCGAGGTATTCGATATATGTACCACAACTACTTCTAGTGCGATATAGAAGACCCAGTCATAATAGTGTTACGGGCTTGAGGTTCGTGACAATTTCAAAATTGAAAAAATTCGTGACGTGACAATCGACTAGGCGCCGAAAGTTCGAGTGTCGGGCTTCTAGAAGCTTAGTTCTTCGTTTCGATACTAGATGGCGCTGTCGGTTGAAAGATTAGTGATGACATTTACTGGAAAGCTCTCCTCGCTCCGTTACCCAACATAGATGGCGCTAGTGCCATACGTCAACTTAGGCGCGCAACAATAGAAAGAAATGACGTCACACCATTTCCACCACCTTCACAGTCTCTTCCGCAATCACCTGTGTCGGAGCCTTACGCGCAGACTTTTGCGCCACACTAGCCACCAGAAGTGCCATCACCCGTGACATCACCCGTGCTATTACCCGTGGCATCACTCGTGCCATCACCCGTGCCATCACCCGTGCCATCATCCGTGTCATCTGAGAGAATGCTCCACGACGGTTCGGGGAGAGATGGGGGCAATGAACAATCAACAAATAGTAAGATGCGACCGCTATTTGAAATATATTCAGGGTGTCACCAGCCACAGCGAGTTTCACTCGTATTCCCCGCAACACAATATTTAACACCTGTGAGTACCTGATGAGACTTCTAAATAAGGCCATATCATGGAAATATTAAAAACAGGAGAAGTGGCAAGGGGGCGTGTCTGTATCCGCGCGTTATGATCAAAATGCTCAGCTTCTATACAAATGGCCTTCTCTGCGAATTAGTGCGCTTGCGACCGTCATCGCGAAATATTATCAGAATGCCATGTTGTTCAGTGGTTTCTTGTAAAAACCGAAGCCAAAACAAAAACTTTGTCAATCATGGAATCACATACCATACCTAATTACAAGTATTTCATTATATTTATTTTTAAAATCATATTAAACAACAAATCGTAAAATATTTCTTTCTCTTACTACGTTATTTTTGTTTCCAATTATCACAGCCAGTCTCGTCGCGGTATTCGTGCGAGGGAGACGCGTGTTTCGCAAATAAGCAAATTTTTTTTTTGCGTTATTAGCTGTTAAAGTTGTTCGCGCTGCTACACCTCGCTACCTGTGTAGCGGAGTACCGTTATGTTGCCGATGTGCGAGCGGCCCATTCATAACGAAGACATTCATTAGAGTGGTATAATACTAATGAATGTAAACAACTCGCATTTAGAGAATGTGAATACAGTTATAATGGCGAGCGATATTTCTTTGAGTGAACATAGTATATCAGATGCGGAAGAAGAGCCTTACAGAGAAGAGAATTTAGTACAATCTGGAATGGAAGAAGACCAATTTAGGAGGGAAAAAAGAGATAGGGGGGATAATTTTTTCGGGGATGATGATGATAATGAAGGATGGAATTTAGTCAAAAGCAAAGAGAAATGATTAAAACCATAACTGAAGGAGGATATTGAGATGTATTTATCTAGCAATGAAAAGTTGCCCAAACAATTTGCATTAGCTAAGATGCTGAAGGCTTGTGGGATATTTGATATCACCAGAATAAAATATATTAACCCTTTTAAGATTCGTGTCAAAGTCTGCAGTGAGTTAAGTCCGATAAAATTGAAAAATGTCAGGAATTCAAGGATAAAGGTTGGAAGGTATACAGGGCTATGGAAAGGACTTCATCTTATGGCGTCATTAAATACGTTGACCTTGATTTATCTGACGAGGAAATTTTAAGAAATATAATGTGTGATAAACCCGTAGAAATAATATCTGTATATCAGCTAAAACGTCGAAACAGAGAGGGAGAAGGTTAGCAGCCAAGTGAAGCGGTACAAGTGTGCTTTAAAGGTTCATTTATTCCACAGTACATATACGTTCATGGATTACGTATAAAAGTTACTCCTTATGTATTTCCTGTATCGCAATACTCGAAATGCTGGAAATATGGTCACCCTACAAAGAAATGCCCTTCCAGTAAAATAGTCTGTCCGAAATGCGGTGGTAGTCATGAGAACTGTGAAACACAGAATTTTCAATGTGTTAACTGTGGTGGAAACCATATGGCCTTGCATAAAGCTTCATGTCCAGCCTTTTTAAAGGAGAAGAGGTTGAGAGAAATCATGGTAGAATTTAACTGTACTTATAGGAAAGCCTTAAAAGTATATGTACCGCCCTCAGCTTCATTGCTTGGAAAAGATAGCTTTCGACAACAGTCTGACAACCCTCCTACCAACATGATCTCACAAACGAAGAGTAGATTCCAAGAACGTGATACCTCCACATTTGCAGAGATAGTTAAAACCGACATCTCATTGCATAAAGAGGATGTAAATGAGGTTAAAACACTTCTGCCAATACTTCAATGAGATTTCGACGTACTCGTAGGAGGGACACGGCTTCTTGTAGGTTGGAGCTCCCGATAAACTCATCTACAATGAATAGTGAGTCAACAGTGCCTCCTGATGCGGCTACTGGTGAAGAGAAAAGGAATTGACGGTGGAAGACAAGCTACATAGGGTGTTAAAGTGTTGTTTAGAGTGGTTAATCTTATTGAGTGTACGATTCGTATCAAATTGGACTTTATGTAAGATTATTGCTGACTATTTTACCTCCAATGTCTCGTAGTCAGAAATCTGTTAGGTTAAATATTGCACAATGGAATTGTCAAAGTATTCGACCGAAATTAATACCCTTAGAGCAATCTCTGAGTCAACTAAAAATTCACATTGCTGCACTCAGCGAAACGTGGTTGGAACGAGATAGTCAGCTGAAGGTAAATGGTTACACGATATACCGTAAGGATAGGGATGACGGTTATGGTGGGGTAGCGGTTTTGGTCCACAGGTCTCTTAAGTCAAGTTATGTGTCGTTCGAAAGCTGTAACCCAGGGATTGAGATAATTTGTGTTAAGATTTGCAACTGTGAGCATGTTCAGTATATATTATCCTTATATTGTGCTCCGTCTGTTCAAACGAGCCAAAGTGATTGGGAACAAATTTTTTCTCGTTTTAACAATAAGGTAGTTATTCTAGGCGATTTTAATGGACACCAGACAAATTGGTCTCATAAATTAGATCAAAGAGGTACCCAGATTTATGACGCACTTTTAGATACTGATCTCGTAACATTGAATGATGGCAACCCTACTCGCATTAAATTAGTGAATACAATACAACAATCTGCGCCAGACATATCGCTGACTTCCTCAGATATAGCGTGTAAATTTAATTGGGGCACACTTAATGACACGTTTGGCAGCGATCATCAAGTGATTAAAATTTCAATGCAGATAGACAGTCTACCCATACCCACGATACGCAGGAATTATAAAAAGGCCGATTGGTCTAGGTACGGCAACTTAATAGAAACTCTTATGCAAGGTTTTATTATCACGGAAGACTCACAAAAAACATATGATTCATTTATCCAGTTGATTAATATAGCTGCAGACATTCACATTCCATATATTAAAATTAATTCTAACCCCGGGAAAAATTTCACTCCCAAACCTTACTGGAATAGTCCCTTATCAAAGTTGGTAGCCGAAAGACGGTTAGCGTTATCAACATTTCGACGTAACCCCACGCCCTTTAATTTTGACAAGTTGCAGACTTCATTAGACGGGACGACATCTCATACTGTTTATGGAAGAAAATGAAATGGTTTAAGGGATGCTATGTACCGCGATCTGGTATTAGTAAAGAGAAGGCGCTTGGATTATTACAAAGCCTGGCACCGGATTTCGTTTGTACTGAGGATCCGACATTTAATTCAAATAACCCTAAGATTGAGACACAGATATCTCGACACGAATTGAACAATAGCTTGCGCACTAGACACTTCTCCTGGTAGTGATAACATTTCCTATTCAATGCTATATAATTTGCCGGATAATGCGAAATTGATTTTAGTCAGGCTTTATAATATTTTTTTAGAAACGGGTTTTGTTCCCCAGCAGTGGCGTAATATCACCATAATACCTATACCAAAGCCCGGCCGAGATCCTCAATCTGACTTTTCTTGGCGACCTATATCTATGATTTCCTTTTCTTCACGCACAATCCCTAACGGGGTAGCCAGAGAGAACAGATCGCCAAGTGTCACGATCCTTACATACCTCTTTCGCTTCTTTCAGGTTCATTAACTTCTTCATACATGCACGTCTAGGTATCCGAGTACTCTTGACCCTCCCCTCTTCGAGCAATTTGCTCACATGGTCTTCGAAAGTTAGTCTTGGTCTACCTCGATACCTTTTAATATTTACTTTCGCTCTATATATTTTCTTCACCATTCGGTCTTCACTCATTCGTTCAACGTGCCCAAACCATTGGAGTACGCCCCTATCAATTTTTGTGATAAGGTCATCTTTCAATCCTGCCATATTGCGAATCTCTTCGTTTCGCTTTCGGTCGGATATGGTAACGCCACACATTTTACGAAGATATCGCATCTCGACTGCATTCAACTTGCTTTTATGCTTCTTCTGGCATACCCAGGTTTCGCTGCCATATAACAAAGTCGGTACCAACACTGCGTTATGTATTGAAAGGCGTGCACTCTTCACCACGCCTTGCCTTTTTTACTAATGCATTCAGGGCACCATTGACTTTGTTTCCGGCAGCGACACGCCTATCCACATCTAAATCACATCTTCCATCCCGGCTGAAAGCACTCCCCAAGTATACAATTTCACTTACCTGTTCTAGACATTCCTGATTTACCCATATTTCACATTTCGTTCTCTCTTCGTCCTTTTCAAATACCAGAACCTTAGTTTTATTAGCATTCAAACGGAGACCTTTAATTTCACATTCCTCTTTCATACACGTGACTAATGCCTGCAGTTCTGCTTCTGATGGTGCAATAAACACTGCATCATCAGCATACAGCAGACAATTAACTTTTATGTCACGCAATTTCACACCCAAACAGCTATTTTTCAGCTTCTGTAAACAGCTGTCGAGATACAGTATGAACAGCCAGGAAGACATGACACAACCCTGTTTTACGCCCGCTTGGACGCTCAACATGGGTGACAGGTCATGTCCTACCCGCACACAGGCTTCACAGTCATAGTAAAGTGACTGCACAGCCCTTAACAATCGACCATCCACACCATATCCCGGCAACAGTTCCCACATTTTCTTCCTTATAACCTTATCAAATGCTTTCTCCAGATCCATAAAAGTACATAAAATCCTCTGGTTAACACTCAGAAGCATCTCCGTGATCATGCGGAGAGAAAACATTTTATCCGTGCATATGATTTCCTGTGTATGTAAAATACTACATAATATATTGATTAAAAGAGTAGAATTTTATGTTGAACATAACAACATGTTATCGTCCGATACTATAGGTTTTCGCAAAGGCCGCTCCATTTTAGATGATTTATCTATCTTTGTGTCAAGAGTCCAACTAGGATTTTCGAAGAAACAATCAACGATTGCTTGCTTTGTTGACATTGACAGTGCATACAACAATGTAAATTTAGAACGTTTATTAGATATTTTAGATACTATAGGGATAGGTTATAAAATATGTACATACCTACGAAATTTTTTAAAAGAGATAAACCTAAGAATTGAGACAGATGATAACTCAGTAATAAGAAGGAAATGTTGTTTAGGTTTAGCTCAAGGCGATCCATTTTCCCCGATTTTATTTAATATCTTAACAATGGAGATTTGCAAGTCAATAAATAATGTATTTATATCACAGTACGCAGATGATTTCGTTCTATATGTCACCTTTAGTAATATAGAAGAAGGTAGAAACCAATTACAATTAGCTTTAAATCAATTTATAATATATTTATTTAGTTTTCTTTCTCATACTGGGTTAGAAATTTCAGCTCTCAAAAGTAAAATTTGTATTTTCCAAAATCGGGATCCTGTGTCTATATCTGTTAGTGTTATTTCTTTAGAAGTAGTTGATTATGTGAAATATTTTGGTATTTGGTTAGACAGGAAGTTACGATGGTCTAAACAAATAAATGAACTAAAAGAAAAATCCTCAAAAATGCTTAATGTTTTCAAAATTTAGCGGGGACAGGCTGGGGTATTCACCCAACTCATTTAAGTCGTCTATACATATCGTGTATTCGTGGCAGATTAGATTACGAGCAACGATTAAGCAAGCTAGATAAAGTTCAGAATCAGTGTATGCGGGTAATCGGTGGTTTTATTAAAACAACACCTATACACGTCATGGAGTGCGAACTACACCTACCGCCTTTAAATGTACGAAGACATTATCTAGCCGGAAAGTATTGGTTAAAGGCGAAATCCTTTTCTAACCACAAGATTATTCCCATTTTGGACGACCTGATTCTTTTAAGTCAAAATTCTTATTGGAGGTGCAAAAAAAAACCCCTTTTAATTTTAGTTCACAGTTACCTTAAAGATACTGCTGTACATATTACTACACAATTAGATATGTTTAGACTTGATACCTTGGTCAGCAATGTGAATATTTCGAATATAATTAAGTTTAACATAGATGCCGTAAGTAACACTAAAAGAAGTTATAATTCTTTGACATTACAACAACTGTGTAACAGTTTTAACGTATTCAAGTTATTACAAAATTTATACGGACGGTTCAAAGGAAAGTAATTGTGGCGGTCTACCTATTTATGACCCGCAAGTGAAACTACGTATTTCGTACTAACTACGTAATTCGAAAAAATTAATAATTTTTATGGTTTTAGGGTTTAATATAATTTACAGTAATTTACACTTTCCGTCTCAATAAACGGTACATACTAGTAAAGGAGCTTAAACTTGAAAAGATTTTTATTGCAATAGTAATAAAAATTAACATTCTGAAACATCGTTTTAAAGTTATGCCTTCCACGAGGTTTTAAGAAAATATCTTGACTACAGCATCACCTATCGGGAAAATTGTGTGAATATAACCTCAATGTGTGAAGTAGCTCAGAAATAACACGATCATACAGATGCCGATCTAATATATGTAAAGATGTCATTATATATATATATATATATATATATATATATATATACATAACATATACATAAACACTCACGCCTGTCACCCAGAGGGGTAGGCAGAGACTACAGACTTCCATTTGGCACGATCCTGACACACCTCTCTCGCCTCCTTCACATCCATACACCTCCGCATACATGCTCGTCGGTTAAGGGTACTCCTAATTTGGCCCGTTTTCAATAAATCGCCAATTTGGTCGATAAATTTTCGCCTAGGACGTCCCTTTCCGACTCTGCCATTCACTTCTGCAACATAAATTTTCTTTGTCACTCTTTCCTCATTCATTCTTTCCACATGACCAAACCACCGAAGCATTCCTTTCTTAATCCTGGTCACAACATCATCTTGCAAA